ATTTATGGAGGAAAAATCTGTCTGCATCTATTACGCATGAAGATATAGGTACAAACTCCCATCTCAAGAAGTCTTATGCTGCACATAGGGAAGCAGAAAGGATATAGGAAGAAAATTATCACTGTAGGCATCCCATTTCTTTCCTAAGCATCTGCTGTCAGGAAATCTCAGAGACAGGATACTGAGCTAGGTGCATATCAGCCTGACCCAGCAGGGCTGGTTCTTGTGTTCTAATTATTTATCTAAGAGGGATGGGGAGGGAGCCATTAGCTCATTTTTACTTTGAATACATTCCTTTGATTTTGAATGAGGGATAATTTTACCACATTACCATGGAGGAAGGCACCTTGTCAGGAAAACGAAGGAAGGTTGTGAATTAACATGCTTTATCACCCCCACTCAGGAGGCCCAGGAGGCAAACACTGTATCCTCTAGCTCTTGAACCACACTGGCAAAACTGTTTTCCAAACTTTGTAGGTTGAAAACTGCCGTATTTGAGAATGATTAGAGCCATTTTGTCTTAGTTGTTAGAGAGAGACCAGTGCAAGAGCCTGACAATCATAGCGGAAGCTAGTCTATGGGTCTGACAGCTTATGGTTGATCTGACACTTTACAGATGCATGCTGTGTGACAGCTGCAATGAATCAGGCTATTAGAGGGACTTTATGCTCCCTAAAGCTTATTTGTTCCTGCCTTTCTCAAAACAGGGGGTGGGGAAGTGTAAAGCCTATCAGTGAGATAGAGGAGGGGGCCTGAAGCTGGACAAACCAAAACGTTTAGAGATTCTGCTAATGCTACTAAGATGAAAGGAATCCCCAAATAAAAAAGGAGCCAGAGACATATTTAGCAGAGCCTCATTCCAAAAGAGCCAATTGGATGCAGGCAGGAAGGTCTCCACGCACGTCTCAGAAGTTGTTTTCCCTTATAAAGTAATGGCTTGTAATGTTATGAGCAAAGGGGTTACTTTATTCCCAGTTTTCTATAGCAGTTAGGATAAGACTGCAGCTTCTGCCCTCCTTTACCAAAAAAGTATGGCATCTATGAACTGGTGCATGGCCTCTGAGCCGGCATTCTTCAGGCCAGCTGAAGCGCGTTTCCTAGGCGTGGTGACTATACAGCTCCTGCTGCTGTGGAGTCTCAAGCACATTTTGTATCCGTACGACAATCTGCCCAAGTTAGTGAAAAACAAAGAACTTGACTTAAGGAACATGTAGCTAAGAGTTTCCACTGATATCTTGAGACATGCTTAAAGTCAGTGGGGGAGTTCCCAATGTGCATGGGAGCTTTGCTAGTATCACTATAAAGGGAGCAGGGAAAAGGGTATGAAAGAGGCAAAATTATTTTTTCCACTTATTTTCCTTTCTCTGATCATACTCTGGACATGCTGCTGTGATGGAGACTGCAAAATGGTTTAGCATGGACAAACAGAGAAGTTCTTGGGGGAAGCCAAATGAAAACCATAGTTTTTGGCTATGGATGCAATGAAAGAACTAGAACCTTGGGGTATAGACACACCAGGCAAATTGCGCTGTGGCTGTTTCCATACAAATGGGCCGGATAAATACTGAAAGATAGGCAGCAGAAAGTGGTGATGGAAGTGGCCTCCAAAGGGGAAGCTAAACTACTTTCAGAAATGGTATTGTATTCTTTTTCTTGCAAAAAACTATACACACACACACATATTTGGGCTAAGCTGGTATGTGTCTGTAGCTACAAAGGAGGGTTCACAGGTTTGATCCCCAGCATTTAGGCTTGGTTCTCAGAAGACTTGTTCTGTTCAGTTCTCTTTAGGTTCTTATTCCTGTCTCATGCCAAGTACATTCTCCCCATCCCCCCACCCCTCTGGCAATCACCTGTGTTGCTGAGAAGAAAGGTGTGAACTGCTAGTGTCATTTTTTCCCATATGTTTTTATCTGTAGTAATATCTGTATGATCATAACTTGAGCATGGAATCACTAAGAAGAAAAGAAATACCTGTATTCTGTAATGTCCCTTGAGCCAGACTGACCTAATTTCCTTGCATAGTTCACCTGTTTGCCTTCCTTCCTTCCTGCCCCAGGATCTTCCATAACGTAACGCTCCCGAAATGAGCTGCCTGCTGAGCGCTGGCTCTCCATTGTGTGCTGGAGGCATGGTTGTGCAGCATCTCTAAATTTTTCCTGTGCTGTTCCTGTGTATCCATCAATACTGCTCAGTCAGCCACTGGGCTTACTTCTCCCTTCTAGTCTGCATAACCCTGTCTCCAACAAATATCCTTCACATGGTAGGTCCCTCCAAACAACTGGTGTTTCCTCTTTATCACCATATCAACAACTGCCTGCCCTGAATGAGACTCTGTGTCAGCCTTATCTTTTTGATGAGCACCATGAAAGCTGGGATTCCCACATCTTTGGTGCCCATGACAGGCAAGGTGATGTGTGATCACCACTGAAATAACCATTCCTCATAGCAGCCAAGGGGTGGCTGCTGCCATCATTGCCACCACCGGCAATTATGGTATACACCAGGCTAAGTTTACAGGAACTGTGAGGAAGCTTAACAGAGGTACGAAGGTGTCTGTGGTATCTGCATGGCCACTGCCTCCTATAATATCCACAGAGGCCTCTTGTAGAAAACTGTTGCCTGTATTTCTAGCTATGTTGAGGTGCAGTGTGAATGGTGTACCAGTTCTGCTGAGGGGTTGTGTACTTGGCTCTGCAACCTCATATGTGCTGTATCCACTAGAGCATCATCACCAGTAAGCTTTTTTGGGAGTGTCAACCTCTTTTCATTAAGGTGAAGAGTTCGGATTCTTTTGGGTCTTTGTCCCAGTCTTGGTATTTCCAAGGAGTAGTAGTAGATGATGCTTCTGAAAACCTTGGATTATGTTTCCTCTGATCTAGGAGATAATTGATGTCTGTGTCAAAATCAGACCTGATACTGCAGTGAAGGGTTCTGCTGTGTGAAATTCCCCTTTTCCTTAACCTGAGTTCCCTGATCTAATACCATACGTTCTACATGAGGTACGTAATTTTTCTCAGCTGTGTTTTTGAGTGTTGTTTGAAAACAAAGAATTTGGTTTTTGCTGTCCTTTGAGTATCAGTTGGAGATATGCAAAAAAGGGTCTGTTTATGTCCTCTGTTGTAGGTTGCTTACCTTGGTGGGTTTTTTTTGGTTTGTTTTTTTTTTTTTTAAATGTCTCTTATCTTTTGCCATGGTGCTGGAAGTGAAATAATAAATAGCTTTTGCATGGCTCATGTTCCAATACTTGTTAGCTTCTGTTTTTGACCCTCAAAGGCAGTTACATTCCTTAAAAGTTCCTTTCCTTAAAAGTTAAATTCCTTTTGGTCTTCAATCCATAATTCTTGCCTATCTGCTATCTCTGCTAGTGGCCTAATCCTTATAATCTCTGCATCAGAAAAACCCCCACTGCGGTTGTATGGGAGATTTTCTTGCATTAAGACTACTCAATTAGGCAGCAGACGCTCTGTCAGCAAACACACGATGCCCCTCCCCATTGTAACAAGACTCACAAAGCAAGGATCTCACTTGGATTCTCACATCTTTCTTGGCATGTGTGCATAGAGCGGTTTTGAATTTGTGATGGTTTAGTATTGGAGTTCAGAGATGCTGATTTCTGGTCTTTAGGATAAACTTAATGACAAAGTATTTTTGACTGTGAAAGGGCTGCTTCACTAGAATCAGCCTGTCCAGAGAACAGCTGTCTACAGCTGTAAAAAAATCCGGTTCTGTGCTGAAAATAACTTGTACAGTGAGAACCCTTGCTTTATTTGCTAAAAATACGTTCAACGGAAAAGCTAGATGTGGGTTATAAAATTTAACAACTTTATTATGAACAATTTGAGATGAGTTTACAACAGTCCAGACTTATGGCCGTCAGTGGAGTAGCACTAGGGCGAAGCTGGCCCACAGGTCCTAGGGTTTTGAAAATAAGCTGACAGAGAAACAGAATGGATTCTAACCCATTGCAATCCGAATAGGATCATAACAATCATAAAATCATAGAATACCAGGTTGGAAGGGACCTCAAGGATTATCTGGTCCAACCTTTTTTGGCAAAAGCACGGTCTAGACAAGATGGACCAGCACCCTGTCCAGCTGAATCTTAAAAGTGTCCAATGTTCGGGAATCCACTGCTTCCCTGGGGAGATTATTGCAGTGGCTGATTGTTCTCTTTGTGAAAAATTTTGCTCTTGTGTCCAGTCGGAATCTCCCCAGGACTAGTACCCATTACCCCTCATCTTTTCCACGTGACTCCTCGTAAAAAGGGAGTCTCCACCGTCTTTGTAGCCACCCTTTAAATACTGGAACATGGTGATAGGGTCTCCACTAAGCCTTCTTTTCTCAAGGCTGAATCTTTTAACAGAACATTTTCACAACCTTCAGAGACGTCACTGTCACTGTGAACCCTATACAACAGCAGGTACTTTTTTCACTACCCTTCAGCCTGTGGGCAGTATTTAGCATACAAGCAAAACGCCGAGCTTTTAAAGACACTTTGTAGCAAAATTCAGCAGCTGTTTAGCTTGCCACAAATAGTTTAGTTGTTTTTGTCAAAATCTTCCATGAAAGCAAAGTGTTTCTTTAAAAACGTGATCCCTATTATAAATGACTGCTCTTCCAATTTATCTCTCTGCCTCTTGGATATTACTACAGAGGCCTGACCTCTCTTGTTTGAACACATGCTCCTCCTGCCAGAGGGTGTCTATTGTGGGCACACTCAGTCTCTCTGTATTTTAGCAACTCTCCTGAAGTTTTAAAGTGTTTATCTTATACAGCTGAAAGTCTCCTCCTGTTTCATGATCTCTACGCAGGAATGCAGTGGAAGAGACCCAGGGCCTGTGGCCACCCAGATTAGAGGTTTTTGTAATAAGGTCCCTATATGGTTTTGTTAGAGACTTCAGCTCTGTCTCTCTCTGTCTCTGCTCCTTGTTTGGGAGGCTAGTGGGAGGAGAAGAGCTGAAGGGGCTATATAACCTCAGAGCTTTTGGATACAGAGTGCACCATCCCCGAGCAGCTATCCCCAGCCAAGCACTGTCAGGGTAAGTGGCACTGAACCAACAGCATGATTTGCAGATTGCTGGAGGACTTCAGCTAAATAATGTCAAGTGGAAGCTACTCAGGAGGATGTACTGCTGTGCTGTAGTTTGCTTAAGCAAACTTACTTATTAGAATTGAATTGATAAAATGCTTGTAGTATCTATACTGAGTTGTCTTCATTTTATCGCACTTCTGAAAGGGAAATAACAGTTCTACCTGATGATTTTGCTGCTTCCACCAGCACTCCAGCAACAGCATAAAGGCACAGTCTGTGTAATGCCATGGCTGGAATTATAGCTATATTCATGTTTAAATGAATCTGTGTGACCCTGTGGTGTTAGTTTTGTACTGAACAGAGTTCCTGAAGAAGTGAATTTGCCCACTGTGTAATAGGGTTTCTCAGCAGGTTTGCTTCAGTGCTGTTAAGTCAGTGTAAGGTGATGTGAGTGGTTTTGGGGAATGTGACTGTAAGGGCTGGAAGTATGCAAAACAGCAGTGTCTAATAGGATATGGTGAGGATGTGTGTGTCCTTGTCTCTGTGTATATGAAACTACTGTTCTGTAAAATGCCAAACATTTCATTAAGGAACAGGCTACGCACAGTATTTCTTGTGGGGCTGGAGTTCTCCTAGTAGCTTGTTGTGGAGGTTGGTGAAGTGATTGGTTATCTTTTGATATAAAGCAGGTAGAAGAAAGAGGCTAAATACTGTATTAATTACTTGGGAGAAAAACTTCCTTTCTTCCACAGTGCTGAGTGACATTCGCTGCTGTAAGATGTTACTACTGCGTGCCATGGCAGTCCTGAGCTGTAGCTCACTGGCTGGCAGCCGAGAGCCCCGTCTGAAATCATTCAGCTTTGATTTTTCAACTTTTTGTGCTTTATTACTAAATATGGTTTTCGTTTAGAGTCCACTAAGCTCAGAAATGTAGCCTTTCCTGCCCCCTTCCTTCCCCTCCCCCAAGTGATTTTTGGCATTGCATTAGCTGCATGGGTTTGAGCAAACCCCCTGACCTCAAACTCCGTTCCAAAAACAGACGGTTGAAAAGCCTATTTCCTAATTAGGAAATGGTTTGTCCAAACCAGTCTGTTCATTCATGTTAGGTAGCAATTGTACTCCATTCAGTAAATGTTTGAATATAAAGAGCCTGTTTTCCCTGGAGTTTAATAAACACAAAAATCGCAACCTACTTTCCTTTTCCAATAATAATGATAAATTATGTGGAGTACATCAAGTTAGGATTTCCCTATCCTTGCCGCCTTCTGGGAGCTCTGCCCAAGCAGCCTGCAGGAGCGGGGCTGCAGCCATGTCTCATGGCTGCCTGGCTGGGGAGAGGTGGAGGATATCAAATAAAGGATTCGGGAGAACTCTCCGTGCTTGTTCCATCTGACGTAGAGGCTAAACGGATCGTGGGCTCCTTTGCTCATCAGCCACGGCTCTCACTGACCCCATTCCCACTTTGTCCTGCACTTCCAGTATTCCTGTGGCAGAAGGTTTTGGAGGCTGCGTGTGGAGCCAGGTGGTCTGTGGATGACAGCTGTCTCCTTTAGCTGTTAACACACTGCAATTTGTTGAACTCTGCATGGAAGCCTCGGCTCAGAGCTAGCCAAGTGATTCCCTACCACACTATAAATCGTGAGCAAATAGTTCTTCCTGAGTCCTGGTATTCAGTACTTGTTTCTGTAATTGACCTTAATACAAAGCCTTCAAAGCATTTTTATTACCCATATTATCTTCCTCTTGCCAGGGGAGGAAAACAGTTTCTTTTTACTGAGACAAGAAGCAAACATAAATTACTCTGACACTCTACAAATGCAGTTTATTAGCTCCTTTGAAATGATGAAAGACCATACGCTATAGTCTGTTTTTAAAACACATACTGTCCCTGACTTCATTTTAAAGGCAGGTTATTTTTTCTGAGTGAATAGGGGAGGACTGGAAAAGACTGGGGGGTTTTTTGTTTTGGTTTTTTTTTTTTTTCCTTTTTAATTGGGAACATTTCTTCTCTTTTAAAAGGTTAAATGTAAACTTAATTGGCCATCTTGACCCAGTGGGTTAATATCTGCATCAGGAAAACACCACTGGTACATGCCTAGCATTTAATTTGGTTAGTCTTTGGGAAGCCCAAGACTGGATGGAGAAGACAGGAAGACTGAAGTGCTCTTACCTTTGACAGCTTTCCACATGTGTCAGGATTTTGTCAGGGTGATAGAAAAGCAGGGGAAGTTGTGCTGAATCCGATGCAAAGGGATTGTTGTTTTTGCAGCTGTCAGTCCAGCATTCTCTTTTATCTCCCACCCACCCCCAGCCGTGCATTTCTGTGACCAAATTTAGATAAACATTTGCTGCTGCCTGATCTGTCTGCCCATGCCGCAGGACTAGAAGTCTCCTCTGGAATCCCCTGGATAATCTCTAGTGCATGCAGCCCTCCGGCAGACATGGTTGAAACCTCATGCTTTCAAAAGGAAGCCCATTCCCTCATACGGCCCCACAGGCCCTGTGATTGCCAAACCAGTGCCATACCTCTCTTTGCTGGTGCTGCTTGCTTTCATATGACTGTCTGCCTTGAAGGGTGGGTCTGCTACCTGAGTGTGGTTTGTTTTTTGTTTTTTTTTTTTCTTTTTTTAATTCTTTCCTGCTGTTTTCATAGGGCCGTTTTCTGTCTGGAGGGCTTGAGGACGTTGACGTAGAAGATGTGCGAGGAAGAGGACAGCACTGCCCTTGTTTGTGACAATGGGTCAGGACTCTGTAAAGCTGGCTTCGCTGGGGACGATGCTCCAAGAGCAGTTTTCCCTTCCATTGTGGGTCGTCCCAGGCACCAGGTGATGAACTGCTTTGGTTGTTCCATACCGGGCTTGTAGAAGGCTTTGCTGCCCCAGCCCCAGCCCTCCACCCCAGAGCCCTTTTTCCTGTGTTTGGGACTAGCCCAGCCCTGGGTGATCCGTGTAACACAGCATTTCCAGGCAAAATGAGTCCAGCAGTGCACTCACCTGAGTCAAAGCAGGTCTCTTGCCTTGTGAGAGGAGTCCTTCTAAAACTTTTCACTCCCTTATATGCCCTCTTCTCCCTTTCCCTTAATTTTGGATTACCCAGAGAACTTGGTGAGTAAAGCTAGTTTAAAAAAAACTGCTAAAGCCCAACAAGTATCTGGAAATTTTGACTGCCCTAAAAGCTGATGATAGGTGATGAGTGGAAAACTTAAGGAGGGAGGACAAGTTTTCAGTCAGCTTCCTGACTTTATTCATTTAGCTGTATCACAAATGGACACCTGTCTAGGGTTAAGTTTCTTTAGCTTCAAGGTTTACATTTGAGTATATGATGCATTACAGTTGATATTAATAGTTTGCAAAATATATATATTATCTGAGCTGTTAAATACAGAGAGTTTCTGAACCAGATCATCATTAGCATGAACTAGAGCAGCTTGGCTAGATCATGACAAGCTAATCCTCCTAATTAGCAGATACACTTAGTTGCTTCTATGCCATCTAAAGACCTGGTGAAATGGGAAGAGGTAAACTGGTTGTAAGATGCAGCATTTGATGTACCCAGCAAATACATTTTAAGCTCTTCAGGGCAGAAGAATTGTGTGCCTAATTGAGGCCTCTGGGTATTAATATAATTGAAAAAAAATATTCAAAATGCCAGCTTCTGTAGATAGTGTGAATGGTATTAATTGCTCAAAAGCAAGCCATACAGTCACAGTGGAAACAAATGTAGCAGATTTCTAGAACCTTTCTTTCCTGATCACGTATCATGAATAGTGTTAGTGCCCGGAAGGAAGGATCATTCCATCATAAATTGCAAATCCAGCTTGCTTGTTTCTAAGACAGGACAGTTAGAGATGCCAAGGTCTGGAGCGTGTAATGAATAAGTCCTGATGACAGTATTATGCAGTCAAAGCATCCTACTATATACTATTTTTCTTCCAGTATTTCTGGCTTTAGCGTAGAGATTGCTATATATCCAGAGTAGTTTCCAGCTTCTGGTCCGTGGACGATTTCTGCAGCATCCATGAAAGTACCTAAAACGAAGCCTGTACTGGTAGATTTAAATTGTCTGTCTCTAGTGGCAATATTATAGAGTACAAAAAGAAGATTAAAAAATGTTGAGATTTAAGCTTTGGGAAATGTAAAGTGTGTATTGCTCCGTCTTAACCCTTAGATGGCACAACATCACTTTCTGCTTTTATTCCACTTTATTATAATTTAGCAGACAGTTCATCCCTAAATAATAACGAACATTAAAACAACCCTATTTTTCCACTTTATCCTGATGAATTTAACATTGTACTTGTGCTGTTTACTTAAACTGTAGTGGAAACATGGACTCCAGAGGTTTAAGAGAACTAAACATTTAATTTTGGAAATTAAAAAGCAATGAGTAATTCTCCATTCATTAGTATTTGTAAAGTATTTTGTAGCTAGTATCACTGGCAACTGGATTTATTTCACAGCTAATGTTCTATCTACTTTGTGACACCTCTCCTTGAGAGACTAACTCCATTTGTGTTGTTTTATAGGGCGTGATGGTTGGTATGGGTCAAAAAGACAGCTACGTAGGTGATGAGGCTCAAAGCAAGAGAGGAATCCTGACCTTGAAATACCCCATAGAACATGGCATCATTACAAACTGGGATGACATGGAGAAGGTATTTCAGCTTTGAAAAGTTGATATGTATCACTGGTAAACAGAAATACTTGAACCAAATGTTTACAGAATACCCACTAAATTTTGGATGAAAGCGTTATGCTATCAAGTACGGTTTGACAAGAATGTTGTTAACAACGAAGGTTAACTTGCATCTAAAGCTGAAGTATCACTAGGAGTACCTCAAAATAGTTATTGGGAGTTCTTTTACTCCAGTATGATCTATACATCTTTGCATTACTAAAGGAAGAGGAAGAAAGAAAAAGAAAAAAAAAGAAAAAGGAAAAAGAAAGAAAAGGAACATTCTCAATTTACTGGTAAAGAAATGGAATTTAAGAAGGTATCTGTTTCTGCAAAAATGCAAAGCATGTATGTAATTTTCATGTGAAAGGGCACTGTTTACACACATACTTTTTAATGCTTGAAAGGTTAGCAATATTGCAGTGCAATGCATCCGTTTCAGAGCCAGTACTTGGATGAAAGGCTTCCAGAACCATGTTTACAGTCGTAGTCTGTACAGTTGATCTAATTTCTAAGATGGTATTTCTACTTATTATTGTGCTGTGGAAATAGGGCTATTTGGAACAGTCAGGACATTGCAGCACGCTGCAGGTGTGTGGAGCCACAGAGGACTTACAGGCTCTTCTAGCATTGTACGTTTTACTTGGAAAGACAGCAAAACCTTTCAGATGCCTACCTTATCAACCAGTCTCTAATCACCCCAGCCTGAAAACAAGCTTAGAAAAAACTTTTTGGCCTTTAGAAAGTGTCTGGTGGTTTTACTTCTTGTTGGGGTATTAAACTCCTCATTGCAGTTCACTTGGCCTCAGATTTTTATAGCTGGTAGGAATAAGCCATGAGGAGGCGATAAACACAAGTTGACTTTCAGCCTCACAAGCCATTTGCCTTCATTTCTTTTTATGAATTCTTGGACTGGCCTCTACAAACCAAAAGATGAAACTGTTTTCAAGAGACCTATTATCTATTGAGCTCTACTCCATAAGTCTGAATATGTTCTAGAGTTGTTCTAGAACTGTTCTAGAACATTCCATCATCATTGAAATAGTGTTGCTGGAACCAAGTCTGTCCTGCTCGGTCTCTTCTACTGTAAGAATAACATATTTATTCTCATTAACTTATGTGTCCTTAAAAGAAGTCATATATTACTAGCAGTAAAACCTGAGGATAGTGGTTTTCTTTCTCCAGGTACTTTGGTAATCTCTGTGAAGGCAATAAGAACAGCTGCATGATAAACATTTCTAGCCTATCTCTAGGGCTGTAAGCAGAGTGCTGGAGCATAATCCCTGTCTGGAAGTGATTCTGAGCTGCTGGTTGATAGTGTTTCTTTCCTTTGGCTTCTCCCATTGTTCTCAGATCTGGCATCACTCTTTCTATAATGAGCTCCGTGTTGCACCTGAAGAACACCCAACTCTACTGACTGAAGCACCACTGAATCCCAAAGCCAATCGAGAGAAAATGACCCAGGTAAGCTCTCATTGAAGCTATGGAATAATTCCAACTTTGTGAATTCAACAGGATGTGAACTTCTTCATTTCAGTTAGTCATGCTGTCCAGCAGTCTATCTCTCTTAGTCATGGAAGATAGAAAGTGCATAGTGACCACCTGTCATATTTGCACATTATTATATTTACTTTAGAAAGTCAGTGTATCTGCTTTGAATGTGAATACTTCAGTCTGTCCAAGCTTTATGTCATCTCAATCTGTTTTATGCCCAGGCCTATTACAAAAGTATCTTTGATGTGTGCATGTGTCTATATTCATATGTTAAAGATACAGGCCAGATGTCTTATAAGACAAATATTTTTGGATTTATCATAGAATCATATAATCGTTTAGGTTGGAAAAGACCTTTAAGATCATCCAGTCCAACCATTAACCTACACTACCAAGTCCACTCTAAACCAATTAAGGGTAGACTAGACTAAACCATGTCCCAAAGTGCCACATCTACCCATTTTTTGAACACTTCCAGGGATGGTGACTCCACCACCTCTCTGGGCAGCCTGTTCCAATGCTTGAACATTTGATTTTGTATTTTTCTTCCTTGTTATTACCAACCATCAAGAAATATGAAAATCTTGTCTTCTCCCTCTCTTTCAGCATATTGCTTCAACTAAGCTAAAAACCCTAGAGTTAAGGTAGTTATTTTAATTGCATTTCAGATTATGTTCGAGACTTTCAATGTGCCAGCCATGTATGTAGCTATTCAAGCTGTTCTGTCCCTCTATGCTTCTGGACGTACCACAGGTAGGCCTCTGGGGAACAAGGCATAGACACTTGAAATAGTTAAGTGTGTTGATGTGCACCTAGGAATGAATCATGTGTTATCTTCTCAAAGGGATTGTGCTTGACTCTGGGGACGGTGTTACCCACAATGTGCCAATTTACGAAGGCTACGCCTTGCCGCACGCCATCATGCGTCTGGACCTGGCTGGCCGTGACCTGACAGACTACCTCATGAAAATCCTGACAGAACGTGGCTACTCCTTTGTGACCACTGGTAAGGACACACTGCTGACTGAGGAGCAGAGTTCTTTAATGTGCAATGTTTCTAGCAGCTTTAGAAGGACTAGCAGTGGTTCTGCAGTTGATTAGACACAAGAAGAAATCCAGCAGGAAAGACCCCTGCAAAACTAGCAGAGGATTTGTTTAAAAAATGGGGTGTGGGGTGGTGTGCGTTGGAGAATGAAAGGGAACAACCTGTCAACATGTCTGTGTCCTTCCTGAATGCCGTTCTAAAGATTGAATCCTCTTGACAGCGGAGCGTGAAATTGTCCGTGACATCAAGGAGAAGCTGTGTTACGTGGCCCTGGACTTTGAAAATGAGATGGCCACTGCTGCCTCTTCCTCCTCTCTGGAAAAAAGCTATGAGCTTCCTGATGGTCAGGTGATCACTATTGGAAACGAACGCTTCCGCTGCCCAGAGACCCTCTTCCAGCCATCCTTCATTGGTGGGTTGAATGATTGTTCTGCCTTGGTAAACTGCACATAAATACCAAGTCCCTGTTTTCTTTTGATGGCGTCCCATTGCTAACTCATTTAGACGTATACATGGGTACGTCCTAGCACCCATTATATAATAATCTTTTAGAACAGCACTATTAATACGGTGGGAAGAACTTCATGTCAAACAATAAGGCAAAATGCTTTCCCAAAATAAACCCTGAATGTTTATTTCTGGCTTCTGGCATCGGGCCCATGCCATTTTGTATGTTGTGCAGTTGGCTACTACAAGAAGTATGGCTGCAAAGCCACTTTTCTAAGTAGTGTGAGGATTGTAGTTTGAAGGTGCTTGCAGGGAGGTGGTGTGGGGGGGGCGGGG